CTCATTATAAAATTGGTACTTATTTTAACTCAAAACGGATAGTTCGATATTAAAATGACCGTTTTCCCAGCTTAAAAACAACCTCGTGGTTGAAAACTGAGTGACAGTTTTTAATAAATGAAAAAAAATAAAAAAAAGTTGTAAGGCTAATTTGAGTAAAATCATAGGGACAATCTACATATAGATCGGGTTGTTAGATAAGTAGTAGAAATGAACGTGACCACATGCTTGGGTGATAAGATCGAACGGTCAGAAATAAACACAAGAGATATCGATGCCCACGAAGTAAGGGATTTTTCATCACATGACAACCGTTTTTCATTTGGCTATTCCCTATGCAATCCATTAATACAACAATAATGATGAGTGGCATCATTATAACCACAATCATTAATAACAATATAACTATTTAATAATCCGATTCAGCTCATTTAAGATTTAGAGAGTTCCCAAAATGTTTAATTATTTGTTTACAATGAACAGCTATGTGCTCAACAAAATTGTGAATTTGTGATCAATTAACCTATTGTCCATTAACCTATTGTTTATTTATCTTTTTGTTTCGTCCCCAAATGGAAAACATTTTGTGAGCTGCGTAAGTTTTCTGAGTTACAACCATAAAGCAGAAGAAATACACATCACATATAAGACAACAAAGTGGTGGTGACAAACCTATTGTCCAATTGCTTTTACTTTCTAAGCTCGAATATTTTATTGGAAAAAAACTAATTTATCTGTTTGATCTTTTGTAGGCTTAGATCCAAAACCTTTTTAATAGACAAATGGTAATCAATTGAATATATGTTCAAGTTGTATGCCGCTTAATCGTTTGTTTCAGTAAACACATTTGGAACATTCACAACCTTAATTTTGATAGAAAACATTAAGAATTTTAAACCACATATATAATGGCAGGAAATTTGTGAGTCGGTGACTTGACTACTCTAAATTAACTAGAATATCCATATGGACCATATGACTTAAAACTGATTTTTCAGTCACTCATAATCGTTATATTATTCACATGACAGCTGCAATTTCAGGATGAAGTCTAGATTTCGTTATGTGTTCCCAATTTGAAAAAGATGCCTTACTTATATACTATATACAAGAGTGAAAATTGTAACGCACAACAATTCTATATTAATTTTATTGGCAGATCATTCAAGACGGTCCGAATTTCCATCTCCCAGTAGAAGAAAAAGAAGCTTATTGTTTACCAAAAAAAAAAAACTTAATGCAGAAATGTACTACTATTATTTTACGTATGGAATTATCCAGCCCATTTGTTAATTTATCTCTTGTAATTTTAAAATACTGCACGTACATGCATATAGCGTCACCTATGACGAAG